TTTGACGGTGGAACTTTGGAATTTTTTAATTTTGGGAATTTGGGAAGTTGGAACTTTGAAATTTCATGATTATGGGGTTCTAGGACTTTAACATTTTGAAATATAAAAATTTTGGAATTGTGCAAAATTGTTGACTTCAGTATATTGAAGTCCAAGTACTTTGTGACATTGTGTCATTGAAATTTTATGATTATGTGTGTCCAGAACTGGAGCATTTTGAAATATAACAATTTTTAAATTGTCTGAAATTGTTGACCTCAGTATATTGAAGTTCAAGTACTTTGTGACATTGTGTCATTGAAATTTCATGATTATGTGTGTCCAGAACTGTAGCATTTTGAAATATAAAAATTTTGGAATTGTGCAAAATTGTTGACTTCAGTATATTGAAGTCCAAGTACTTTGTGACATTGTGTCATTGAAATTTCATGATTATGTGTGTCCAGAACTGTAACATTTTGAAATATAAAAATTTTGGAATTGTGCAAAATTGTTGACTTCAGTATATTGAAGTCCAAGTACTTTGTGACATTGTATCTTTGAAATTTCATAATTATGTTTGTCTAGAACTGTAGCATTTTGAAATATAAAAATTCTGAAATTGTGTAAAATTGTTGACTTCAGTATATTGATGTCCAAAAACTTTGTAACATTGTGTCTTTGAAATTTCATAATTATGTGTGTCTAGAACTGTAGCATTTTGAAATATAAAAATCCTGAAATTGTCTGAAATTGTTGACTTCACAATATTGAAGTTCAAAAACTTTATAAATTTGAGCCTTTATAATTTTGTTACTTTGAGACTGCAAGATTTTGAAACTTTCCTAAGAATTCAAGAACGTGGAACATAAAAATTTGAAACATTGTTGCCCAGAAAATTTATCGCACATGTATAAACAGCTTTGCTGTATGAATAGCGATCCAGGTGTCACGCGCAACTGAAAACTATATTCCATCCGTTCACGTGGTTAATTAGCATCGAAGAAGGTCACGCGCGAAAGACGCTCTACTTTGAAATACGCAAATTTCCCGGCGTAAAATTAGCATTTTTAAAGTTTCAAGCCGGTCACCGAGACATTTCCGATTCGAAACTGGAGCTGCCAACTAAGCAATCCATTCAGCGGGCGACGTTTGCTTTATTACCTATTCGTCGAATTAAAATATCGTTCGAGCAGCTGGTTCGAAGAGACCGAGGTTCTTTGATGGTCTCCTTCTTCAGAAGTAAATTCGGTTTCGTTCGCTGAAATTTCCATCGATCGATGAACGGTTACTTTGAAAGTAAAACGTGTTCTTTTTATGCAAATTGCATTTTCTCCGAGTACGCTTTACTCGAAAAATCTAAGCGTCGAAATGAAGTTGTCGATGGAGCTAAAAATAGCATTTTCATTCGTTGCATGTTTTTCAGACAGTTAAAAATCGGTTGTTTATTTATCCCTCGCCTTGGTACTTTCACGGCTACCGCCGTAAATCATCGGCATCGCGAATTTGAATTAGTATGTTCCGCATCTTTATTCGCACCACTCTCCGGACAAGGACACTCGTCTATTTATTCAACCATCTAGTCCCGGTTAAACGTGTTTTACACCGCGAAGGCCTATGGGATAGTTAAGGTGATTTATTGTCTCGTAAAATATTCTCCTTATCCACCTCGAGCTGAAATGGATAGTCACCAATTTAATTTCAATCTCTGCTCCACGTTTCCGAACACACATTTTCTTATTGTTCCATGATAAATACGCGGTTCGTTTTATTATACAGCCGTAAATATTCGCGAACAATTTGCAATTATTATAATATTTTCTTCAGATATTACATTGCATAATTTACTGATAAAAATTGCGAATGTTAAATTCAGATTATAATGCAGACTTTTTTGTCTAACCTTTTAATATTCGTTGCTTTTTGCTCATGATTATTCATGGCCGATAACTCCAAGATAAATCGTCCTGGCTAAAATTAAATAAAAAGCATGGAATCTTGAAGCAGCCTCTTTGAGAGCGTCATTAAACTTTCGTAGCGGGATCTTGCACAACGAGATGATTCGTATTTATCATCGACGAAAATTGCCAGAAGCTGATTATATACCTCGACCGCTTCCAAATGTATCTACCACTTTAGATTCTCTTGAAATTGCGTTAAACAATCATAAACACGGTCCGGATATATCATTACCCACTTCGGATTCCTTTTAGAACTGCCGCGAGATAATTACTCAATTTCAGATTTGGGTAGTTGGGAATTTTATGATCTGTTTCTAAACTCTTTTATAGTAGTTTCTATATTTTCTATGGGTAGTTATTAAATTCGTAGATTACCAAGTTATTAAGTTTTAAATCATTCCAATCTTCTGCAGATACAAGGTCACTTAATTCTTTGACAAATTATTAACACTTTCAAGGTAATTTGTTTGCAGTCAGCGACTTTAAAACTTACTAATATAAAAGTTAAATGAATTCTTTTCAGATTATTATTTCTCTACTAATAATTTTCAGTATTGTTTGCTTTACTATGTTTTTACATCCCACATATTATAAAATCAGTTAAAATATTATTTCAAATAATTGTATTAAATAAAATGGTGAGTGAGAGTCTTCAAAGAGTTAATAATCGTTCTTCATTCAAAAATAAGGACAATATTAAAACGCAAGCAAAATGGAATTAAATCTTGGAAAAATGAAATAAATCAAGATGACCCAAGACAATCGTTTCTTAAGCTTCAATAGATGAAAATGGGTTGGCTCGGTGTGCGAGTATCCCGCGGGTAATTATATTTACAGGGAGTGGCACTCGACCTACTCGAACTCATCTCCGACCCTTATCCCTGTGCCGCGCACAGGAACTCTCGCGATCCTGTAGAATTGGCGGCGCAGGAGCAAGCTTGCGTGCAAGCTCTGGACGCCGCTTTTCGTTTCCATGGTTACGTGTCGCGTACCCCCTGCCCCTCAGCCCTCCTCCAACCCCCGTGCACGTCCTCTGGAGGCGAGATGCAGGCTTTCAACCCTCTATCCGGCCGCAGCGCCGGGGCGGCTCCCGTGTGGCGCAGACGTTCGTGCCGGTTGACCCAGGTCGCGTGATTCTCTCCCGCTTACAAGCGTTCTTTTCTCATTTTGTCACTGGTTAATCGAGTGTCTTCTCTCCGTACGTGCACGGAACTGCGAACGATCGAACGAGGAATAATCGACGATATGTTTCGGAGAGGTTTCCTGACGCTTAAGGGCTGAAACGAGAAACGTGCTCGGAAGCTTGCGAGTGACCTTGAGTGCCTGGATCTGCACAGGTGTACAATCGTGAACGATTTAACGAGAATTATTAAGAACTTTCATTGTCGCAATTTTGAAAAAAGACAGAAGACTTCTGAAAGAAGACAGAGGATTCGTGTCGGGAGTTGTAAAAGAGGGACCATGCGTGCTGGAAATTTTCGAAGGAAGAAGTGGAAATGATGCGAACGTTTAATTAATACGGAGCTTCTGTATATAAATTGCAAGCGTAATCGGTTCTCCGCAGCTCGGAACAAGGTGCGATGGAAACGCGGTCGAAACGCGCTTGACAAGCGCCGAGAGATTAACTGCGTGATTTTCGTCGGTGAATCACACTCGAATACGGTTGGCAAACCTTCTGCTGACTTTCGGAGAAAAACACCGAGCAGGAAGGAAGGCGGTGCCCGATGTTGCGGAACAATTCGTAATGAGCACGGGGCTCACGGCGCCGACGTATAACAGACACGTGGTCCCACATTTTTCAAACTACTCCAAAAATCAGCGGATATTCTTTGCCATCTGACATCATTACTCTCGTTTTTCGTTACTGTTTGTTGAAAAAGAACTCCGTATAAATTGTTAAAATATCTGCAAATGTACGTATTAGCAGATCCAATTTTGGGTCATGATTTGATATGATACACTTCAAAAAGAACTCAGAATTGTCAAATAATGAATTACGATATTAGTTGTCCTCTTCAAGAAAAATTCTATGATGAACAATGTATTTGGCGAACTTCAAATTGATTTACAATTAAATGTCTTTGCTGTTGGCTATGTTTTTAAGTACAACTCAAAGGCCTCAAATAATCTTTGACAGTATTGCCATTCTTGTCAAAGAAGAACTCAAAAGGATTTGTCACATAACAGCATAAAATTAATTTCTAATAAAATGGCTGAACCTCTGATTTCACAATATGCTACACTTTGAGCTGATTTCAATAAAACTAGTTCAAAAATTTATTAACAAGAATCTGTACATTTTGAGAAGAGTTTTGAGAAGTCACTCTAGTCAAAGTGAGAGGATGTGACACTTTTTATATCATCAAGTCTCCATTTGAGTATCTAAATTAAATTTGCAACATCTCAAAATTTCTCCAACATCTCCAAAGTCTTCCGAAATAATTTTTGAAAAGATCAAAAAAGAATTGTGAGAAGATATGAGAATTTGATTGAAATTATTAAAATAATTGATGATCAGAGGATGACAAACTCGAACAGTAGTTCGCTGTCGCGCGCATGGCTGCGGGCAAATTGCTGTCGCTGCGGCGACACGCGACAGGACACCATGAACAATAACCTTAAGGACGAGACGCCACTGCGGGAAGAAACGGAGACTCTTTTGCATCGTATAGCGTTCACGGTTTGGCATACTGCCCTCCATATAGAGAGCGAGGTGCGTGGGAGTAGTCGTTTTTGCGCCAACTTTTCGACGCCGCCTCGTCGCGGTTCTCCTTTCGATAAGATCATGTCTGGTCGATATATCGGCCAATCGAGTCGAGACACCCCGTCGAATGAAATTTGTTTTCGTACCCGTCGGCTTACGGGAAACGAAACAACGGGGATCGTTTACGTTTATTATTGAATCGTGCCGATCGAGACGTGGATAGACTGTATTTATGCAACAGTTGTTTTACGTTGAACAATGGGATTAATTTACGCTCTGTATACGTTATCTTTCTCGCCATTTTACACGTGCGATGTATTTCAAATTTTTTGAGAGGTCGTTGATTTATGTTGCAGCACAATGGCGGGTACGAGGTGCAACCCAAGAATGTCAACGCGATCTCCAGAAATAAGCAGCAGCAGGTAATTTACAATAATCTTCATTTTAATACTAATACACTTGAGGAGTATTATTGAGTTTGTGTTTTTAAGATAGCCTCTTGCATATATAAAAATCTTTCTCTATTTTTATTCTTTAAGGGTAACTTGCCAATGTAGATTACGAAAACGAAATATGTGTATGTATCATATAAAGATACATATATGTATGTTCTTAAATTCTTACTACTCGAAGTAGGTACAAACCTCTCAAACACAAAATACACTGTCTACAAAAAGCCCCGCAGTTGCATAACGTCCAAAAATAATTTTTAGAGTTAACATACGTTTAACCATTTACCAATAAACTCCACCCGGAAAAGATTTATTTTTCCACGCTTCCGCAAATTGGTAAATTTAAAAACGCTTCCATAGAGACCACTTTGACGTTCCATAAACCATCTCCTTTTTCTAAGTTTATTTGCGCGAGTTTTCTGACAGGCCATGAGTTACAGTTTGTCCGAAGAAACAATGAAACATTTTTGTGGCAACAAATCATCCCCGAAGACGTTTCCTGAATTTTTGCCCCGCCGCGAACTAGCTCCGCTTCTTCGATCGTAAATTATCCATCCATAATGAAACAGATCTAAATTCGTCGTCCGTAAATTCAAGTTTACACGCGTTCCACCATAAATTGTAGCAGGCGATGAAACAATCGTTTACCGAGCACGAAGGCGAAAATACAAGGAGAACGATCGTTATGCAAAGTGGTCTGCTACGAGTCGCAAGGTTTATCGTGGCCGATAAGAAGTCGCGATTCGTAGCATTTGTAACAAGCCTCTCTCTAAATATTTAATATTAAAGCAGAGTGCCACGACTCGACTTCTGGCGCACACCACGAGGAAACCGTCTTCGTATCGGTCGTTGCCGATCGCATCAGCCCTTCATTTATTCCGCGGGAAAACACGAACGTATTTACATGCGAAATGGTGCTTCAACCGGCTCTTTCGTGTACCTTGCGATTCAGCGTTTCGAGAACAATCTCATATAACTTTGGGTCACCTTCATTGCTCTTGGGATTCGACAGTTTCGAGGGTCAGCTTGTTTTTATTTGTATTTTGGGGATTCTTGGTTGAAATATGAGGGTGATGGAATTAAATATTCAGGATGTGTGGGAGGATAAGTTAGGGTTGTTTTAACTGAGAAGGAAGTGGTTTCGGGAGGTTATGGGAATTTGGAGATCTTTTAACTTTCAAATTGGTAAATTTCTAAATTCCCAAATTCCCAAATTCCCAAATTCCCAAATTCCCAAATTCCCAGATTCCCAAATTCTCAAATTCTTAAATTCCCAAATTCCCAAATTCCCAAATTCCCAAATTCCCGAATTCCCGAATCCTCCAAACGCCTAATTCACATCTTGAAATTTCCATTTCCCTAAATTCTCAAACCCCCAGATTTCTAAATTCCCAAACTCCCAAATTTGCAAATTCTCAAATTCCCAAATTCCCAAATTCCCAAATTTCCGAATTTTCAAATTCCCAAATTCCCAAATTCCCCAATTCCCCAATTCCCCAATTCCCAAATTCCCAAATTCCCGAATTCCCAAATTCCCAAACTCCCAAATTTGCAAATTCTCAAATTCTCAAATTCCCAAATTTCCGAATTCTCAAATTCCCAAATTCCCAAATTCCCCAATTCCCCAATTCCCCAAATCCCAAATTCCCAAATTCCCAAATTCCCGAATTCCCAAATTCCCGAATTCCCAAATTCCCAAATTCCCAAATTCCCAAATTCCCAAATTCCCAAATTCCCAAATTCCCGAATTCCCGAATCCTCCAAACACCTAATTCACATCTTGAAATTTCCATTTCCCTAAATTCTCAAACCCCCAGATTTCTAAATTCCCAAACTCCCAAATTTGCAAATGTACACTCCCAGATTTCTAAATTCCCAAACTCCCAAATTTGCAATTCTACACCCCCAAACTTCTAACTCCCAAATTCCCAAATCTTTACATTTCCAAATACCTAAATTCTGAAATAGGAGATCCTAAAATTCCCATCCCATCCCATCCCATGTCCTCCAATTCCCGAACCTCTAAATTTCAGATTTCTCATTTACCAAATTCTGAAGCTCCCAAATCTCTAAATTACCCCAAATTCCCAAACACCCATTCCCAAATAAATTTCCAAACTTCTATCCCCACTATCAAGACATCGTATCAGTGCCAAAAGGTTAATTACCCGAAAATCAAAGTAGGTTAGATGGAAGCAGTCCAAATAAGATAGCAAAGCAGTCGAAATAATTAGATCTTTTAATTTTTAATACCAGAAGCTTCCTTGAAATCAATTCCTTATCGCTTTCAATCCGATCCTATTCGTAGCACTTTACAATCCGTATAATTCCAGTCGTTTATATGCTACACAAGGTTTAGCATATAAGCTTGTAATCTTCATCGTGTTCTTAATTAATCCACGTTCGCCCGTTTTCCCCTTCAATTATCGTGCATATTATTTTTCCACGATCCAACGAAGACACGACGTGCAGGATTTTCGAGATAACCATCTAAGGATGCAACATGTTGAAGAGATTAAGGGTAATACAGGAGGGGAAACGTACCTTTGGGGGAGTCGTTACGGTTTATTAAGGAGTTTCTTTTTAAATTATACGCCCGACTAGGTTAGCTCTTTTCTACGCATTAACGTCGACATCGGAGAAAATTATTCGCTAAAATGGCAATAAGCTAGTGCACCGTATGAACGGTGCAGGTATCAACCGATGCTCAGTCGAGATAATCCAAGTATATTGACGTTGATCGTGTAACGCATTCGAGAAACCCTTATCCACCGTTCAGACTGCGGCCATTCTTGCGAAAATACACGCCGAGAGGAACGCTGAATGCTAAACCGGCGACATTGTGAGAGAATACTGACAATTGCTCGTAAATGGTTATTGCTGAGGAGAGGTCTAATGGCGATCGTCGATAACGGTGTCGAAAGTTATGCGAAAAAGAATCCATTGATTTTCGCTAATTTTTCTCTTAAATAATTCCCTTAGAGGCTACTGTGGATCTCGTCAATTAACCCTCATAGATAAACTCTTGGTGGAATTATATTTGAATTGGTGACGATTATAGAATTCAATCTTGAAAGAATTTATATGGAAATGATGATATGTACATGTGTGACCTTTCTGATGAACGATGATGTATCGATGCAATCATGTGACCTTTTGTTGACGAATGACGGTGTCAATGTATCAAAACAATATTAATATCTGCATATGTGATCTTTGGATTTTAATAAAAAGTAGACATACATGTGTCTACATATGTCTACAACTACATATGTGTACGTCCACATATGTCTACGTCTACATATGTGTACGTCCACATACGTCTACATATGACTACGTCCACATATGTGAAGAGGTTAACTCTAAAATGAAATGTCAAACAACTAAAATTTAATTTTAGCTTGTTCTCTAAATTTAAGACAAATTGTATCGTCGATGATACTACAACGGATGATGAAACTATGTTAGCTACCGTAGATGACCGTGTAGATAATGATCATGTGGGTCTAGGTTGTACGGAACGTGCTGTGCATTACTTAATTGAAGGCTATTCTAGTTTCTACACGTTGTTAATGTTTTAACAGTCTTCTCTGAACGATTGCTTAACTCTAAAACTATCAAACCTTCCTTTTTCTGATTTTGACTTACAAAATTTTTTTAAATCATTTCCTTTATGTCTGTATTTTTATCGAAGCAAGGATGTATATATTCACTTCTTACTCCTTTGTTTATCTTTTTATGCGATTTGTAACTTCAAATTATGTACGCATTATACAGTAATGCTAGTGTTAGATTTGCGATATACAATTTTATTTCAGATGCAAATCATTAGACGTCTGTAAACGATTCGAACATTTGTAAACGTTAGCCACATCATCGATCGGATCTTGGATAGTACATGCTCCGTGTGATGTACGTTGAGCGGAAAGAAGTCGATAACGATAAAGCCCACTCTCTCTTGGCGCTTTGCTTCCAATTAGAAATTAGCCGGCGGCAATTACGTGGATTAACGATAATTGACATTACCGGCGCGTCGTTCACGCTCCCGAATAATTGCTTCCTACTAATGACGTAGCCAATAGCTATCGTTTCTAACTTTACCGAACTCTGCACGATTTTAAAAACCCTCTAAAAACACCACACTACATTTTACCATAAATAATATTTTACAGAGTATACGAAAAGACCATATTTCATCACAAAAATATACATTGATTTTGTCTATAGGTATTAAAAGAGAGTCACATTTAACACTGGAGTCACAAGATACTTCTTTCAAAGTACACTAAACAAAGATCATTCTTAATAAAGAATTCTTAATAAATTTCTAATAGATTCTTTATAAATTCTTAATAATGAACGATCTTGTATAATAACACAAGATGTAAAAAAAGGTTATACAATCAATGGAATATATAATGAGAAGTTGATTATCATATCAAATCAGAAGCGATAGCCAATTGCAGTACACTGACAGAGCATGCCAAGTAAACCGCCTGACTCATTGTTTGTTTCACGCTGATGCAGCGATTTTGCAGGAAGAATATCGATGAAACGTTTAGCCAGTCTTTCCTAAGCACCAACAGTTACTTAACGAAACCTCTGTATCACAGCCACCCGTGTGAACATTCCGAGGTGCAAGCTTTTGATACGCGACACCCCATTCCGAATGCAGTACGCGCGTCTTTGAAGTTACCACCGCGAACCCAGTAGCCATTAATAATTCGTGAAAATGGTCAGAGCCATGGGACGGCGATCTAATGCCTCCAACGATCGCTTTAGCATTCTCTCTCGGTACAATTTTCATTCATCCCTCATGAATCTCGAAGCGATTTCCACCCACGCGCCGGTGCAAATTGAAAATTTAACGACGCACGTGGTCGGCGACAAAAAAGGCATCGGCGGATGAAAGGCCATGGAAAAGGGGTGAATATAACGGGTGAGAAAGAGAGGAACGTCTCTAAAAATACGTTTATGGGATCATAACGTGGCGAGCTGATTCTCGCGGGCAGCTTTGCAGGCGCATACGTCGCGGCTCTGTTACAGCCATAAATCCCTCCCACCGTTTTCGGTCTCACGTGTGAAATTGCTATTACGTTCTACCGCAGCTGTCGTTCCTTGGAAACCGAGCTTGGAAACCGTGCATGTCCTTGCTGTTTCTCACGCTTGGATTCGAGGATCCACGGGGGGCTCCGAGAAAGAATCCTCCTACTATTCCTGCAATTTGTCCAGTGTCGGAAGTGTCAGCAATATGACCTTACCTTCCGAGTTTCAAAATTTCATATTTCAAATTTATTTCCGCTAACTGCTTCTTCATAACATTCTGCAAAATATTAAAATTTATATAATACATAGAGTGTACGGTAGCAATCATACTTCACACAATTCTGTAAAATTTGTATACTTCTTAAAGTGCAGGATAGTAATCTTGCATAGTACATAGTTCACATCCTGCACGATGCACAGTTCACACAGTTCTGTAAAATTTTTACACTTCATAAAGTAGATAGCAATCAGAGTTCACAAAATGATAAATCACCCACATGATCAATAAGTCACCGAAGCCAATTCACGCTCAAGGAAGTCATTCCCCGATTTTTCGATCGCCCTTGAAATTACTCGTGTTATTCGACACAGTGAATTCACCTAATGCTCGTCTCTAATGACGAGTACTGAAGTCACGCTACCTGGACGAATTCGTTACATCATAGCTGCTTCGCCGAGAAATCGTTGCACGGACGTGCAGTGTCGATCGAGATGGTGGAAGGAGTGTACGTCAGGTGTAAGTGAAACACGGTGCGACCATTGGACAAGCAGACCAACGGATATTCTCGGAGAACACAATACCCGGCAGTCTGTCATTCCGTCGTGCAGCGTTCTCCTCGCATCCTTCTTCGCCGACTTTCCTGTCAGGATAAACGCGGTGTTCGCGTTAAAGCGGCAGGATTTCATGTCGATTCCTTGTGACACCGTGACTCCCATAAGGCCGCCGGCATGCCGGATACCATGGTCGTTAGAATCGTCTATGCGCCGAAGTTCTCCAAGGTTTCCTTCATTAAAGTATTTCTGACGCAAGGTTTCTACTAATATTTTCTATTCTAACTGGGTTGCATATGTAGACTTGGGGATGTGTAGGTACTTGACGTGGATGTAGTTATTTGGTGAGGTAGATTTGGTATCTGAGGTGAAGATGTAGGTATCTGACTTGGCAATGCAGGTAACTGATATGGAGGCTTGAAGATGTAGATCTGAAGATGTAGGTAATTGTGACTGCAGATGTCTAGGAACATAGGTGTCTGAATATATAAGAATGTGATGTGAGAATATCTTAAGGACGTAGGAATCTGGACAGGTTTGATTTTAAGGACATCTGAAAATATAAAAGTCTGAGTACACAAGGATCAACACATATGTGTAGGTATTTGGCAATGCAGATCTGGTATCTGACTACGTGAAGATGTACGTATCTGACTTGGCAATACAGGTAACTGATATGAAGGCTTGAAGATGTTGATTTGAGAATGTAGGTAATTGTGATTGCAGATGTCTAGGAACATAGGTGTCTGAATATATAAGAATGTGATATGAGAATATCCTAAGGACGTAAGAATCTAGACACGTAGGATTTTGGGGACGTCTGAAAGTATAAAAATCTGAGTACACTTGAAGATGTAGATCTGAGAATGTAGGTAATTGGGGCTGTATATATCCAGAAACATAGGAGTCTAAATATATGAGAATGTGATATGTGTAGGTACAGATGTGTGAACCTAGGTGTCAAAGTAACTAGGAATATAGGACTGTGGAAATGTAGAAATGCATAAATCTAACAAATCTAAAAATCTGAGAATTCTTATCAGATGGTCAAAATCTAAGTTAAGTCACATGACCTTGAAAGGACCTAGCACTGCTTTAGTCCTCCTTGTTACACATACATAATACACATAACATACGTTACAAGTAACCCTCCTACTTACACATACGTTACAAGTAACTTTCCTAGTACACATCGAGCAAATGTAAAATTGAAAAGATGATAAAAGATGTTGATTATGCAGATACAGACGAGCTCCTCGGCGACGACACCCGCGAGGACGCCGGGCGTCGGCGCGGACGCGACGACGACAGGATCAGGAAAGGGCGGAGGCCGTGTCACGGAAGTAATGGAACTTTGTTACGTCACAGAAAGGATCATTGCTCTTTGGTACAGAGAAGATGCGCAGGGGGTCCTTGAACACGCCACGGCGTTGCTGCGAGGGAAGCACGCCGATAATTATATGGTGAGCGTTGAGAGAATGCCGGTGAATTAATGATCGCTGGCTAAGGCGTAATGTTTTTATTAAATAATCATCGTTATTAATCCGAAGCGATGCTAAGATAAATGGCACGCTGCGAGATAATCTTTCGAGGCTCGATTATCGCGTACAGCTTAACATTTCATATCCTTCGTGGATTAATCCTTAATTGGCTAAAGAAAATTATTATGATTCGAAATTAATAACTTGGTACACTATTATTTTCAATAACTTCGTTATATCTGTACGTGCGTTTTCTTTGTTATTAACGAGATTGTCTAATATGTAATTAATAATCCCACGTACAAACTCATCCTTAAGAAACTCGACAGAAGAAAATAATGAAAATTCTTCAAGGTTTCGAACCGACCTCCTTCTTTTAACGACCTTTTAAGCACTCAACTTTTCTAAATTATACGATAACACTAGTTTTATGAACTTGTTAATTGTTTGTATGGACCTAATGGATAACGGATGCACAATCGTAAAATGCAAATTACTCTAAATTTGAACCCACGCTTTGGGATGAGTTTCTGATCTAGCATATCTCCTCTAGTTTAACTTCTTTTGGTTCATTAATGGTTTGTGTCATTTAGCTTCTCTCAAAATTCCTGTATCATGAAATTCCTACATCTTAAAACTGCTGTAACCCAAAATAGAGATTCCGAAATTCCAACATTCCAGAATTCACATATACCGAAATTAGCTGTATCTTGAAATTAATGTGTCCCGCAATTTCTATGTACTGAAACTTCCATGTTCCAAAATCCGTATATTGCGAAATTTCTATGTCCTGAAGTTGCTATGTTCCGAAATTTCTATGTACCGAAAGTTCTATGTCCCGGAATCCACATATTCCGAAATTTCTATGTCCCGGAATCCACATATTCCGAAATTTCTATGTTCTGAAATTACCATGTCCCGAAATCGTCATACCCCAACATCGCTATATCCCGAAATCATCAAATCGCAACATCGCTGTGTCCCAAAATTTCTACACACCAAAATTCCTCTGTTGCAGCTTCCATATTTTCAAATCCACATATCCCAAAAACCCCATACCCCGAAACACCTCCATCAATCCCCATATCTCCAAATCCCCACATCTGCAAATCACTACATCCCCAAATCGCCCTGTACCAAAGTCTCATAACCCAACCGCTAGGTCCCACATCTCCCTCATTCTAACTTCAGCTTAACGAACAATTCACGCAAACGTAACGATTAAACTTGCAGATATTCAACCTGTCGTCACCCGGTCGTCCCGGAGAGCCAAATACCAGGGAAGCAGGATGGCCGCAAGGGTTGGCACCAAGTTTAGAGAGACTGTGCGCTCTGTGCAAGGAGCTGGACTCCTGGTTGAACGGTGCTCCAAATCGTGTGGTGGTTCTCCACGCCAGGTGAGTCTCCACGATAGGAAGTTTTCTTGCGAAGCAAGGAAGCTCATTGCTCGACTATCTTCAGGGGAAGCAAAGAACGATTGGGCGTGGCCGTTTCTGCGTACATGAACTACAGCAGCATATGCGGAGGACGTGATCAAGCGTTGGACAGGTTCGCTATGAGAAGATTCCTGGACGACAAGATTGGATCCCTTCAGGTTCCGTCGCATCGAAGGTAATGGCTATACAGCATGATGTTACTAGCTGTTGATGTACCTTGATAAGAAATATTCCGGGTGTGGTCCGGGAGTGATTAATCGAGTCGGTCTTTATTTCGAAATTTATGATACCTTGCTCGACGACTGAACTCGTAAATCTGATCCTTCTTTTCTGCATTACATAAATTGTTATGTCATAATTAACGACCGTGTCGAGGACTCAAAACTAAGATAGTAATTATGTTATCTATCTTGCACGCTTCTGATGTACGCAGTTTGCAATTGTGTAACATTTTTACGAGACCGCTTTAACGAAGCGTTCAACCTAGAAGTTTAATACTGATGTCAAACGCTCGCGGAGAAAACGCGAGCTGGAACTTTTCCGTATTGTGCAGTTAATAACTCGGTCGGGGAACACTCCCATAAATCCATGACAGTCGCCATCAAGGTTTGTATGCGGTCTTGAACAACCTCGTACTTACACAACTAGCGTGCAGTTTATGAAGCTCTTTGTAGATATCGATTTGTAGATACAGTTCTACTGTAAACGTAGAACAGTCTCTAGAATGTCTGTATACGCTCCGAAATCCCTTGTCAATTTCTATATAAAGTTCCTATATTTTAACCCCTTCCCGTGCCATTTATTTATGAGATGCGTCAGGACTAACTGTTCAGGACTATAACATTAAAACGAACAAGGAAAATTAAAATGTTCTAAGTATTTTATATTCAGGGATCCTTGATAACGCGAATTATAGTTGGATCTAAACTTCAAGTTACTTCAAGTTACAAATTCTAGTTGGACCTAAACTTCAAGTTTCAACCTAACCTAACCTAACCTCTTCCTGTGCCATTTATTTATGAGATGCGTCAGTCAGGACTAACTATTCAGGACTATAACATTAAAACGAACAAGGAAAATTAAAATGTTCTAAGTATTTTATATTCAGGAACCTTGACAACGCAAATTATAGTTGGATCTAAACTTCAAGTTGAAGAGTATTCAAAATTTGAGTAATTTTTATCACATTTGAAGTGTGAGTGCGTCACGAGTGGGACTCGTCAAAGCACAGGAAGGAGTTAACCCTTTGCACTCGAAGGTAATTTGACGATTTGCAAACAGCCACTTTAAAACGTAGTTAAAAAGTTAAATTAATTTGTTTTTGAGGTTATTATTCCTCTACTAATAATTTCCACTATTGTTTGTTTCATTATGTTTATCCATCACACGTATCATATTATAGAATCAGTTAAAAAATGCTTATTTCATATTATTGTATTAAATAAAATGGTGACTAAGTCGCCTCTCAAGCGCAAAGGGTTAATATCCTTGTGTCCGTAACCCGTCAAATCCTTAATCCCCAAAAATTGTTGAATTTCATAAATTCCCTCTCTAAACGTCCCCCTCGGCAGATTTACCGTCCACCAGCGCTTAAAAATCATGGGTAAATAACCCTCATAAACCCGAAGCCCACCGAGTAAACCTGTCAACCCTTAGCCATCCACTCGAACGATCTTCTAACGTGTATCACCGGCTGTCGATCGAGAGCCCTCGTCGCCTTTAGGTTTCCGTCGTTTGACGCGCACACGATGATCGTAATGATCCCCCATCGAACCTCGTGTCCTTATACGTACCGAACGTCCCCATGGGCCATGGTATTCGCCGGTTCTTCTTCCTCGTTCGCCGGCCGATCGAGTTTCCCCATTAATTCCACGAGCGGCGAACATTTGCATGTCGTTAGCGCGGCCCGTACACTCGCGAACGTATGAATCCATTATCGAGGGAGAAACGCTAGCCTCCCGGAGCATAAGCTGCACACCTTAGGTGCCACCGGGAACTGGTTTTTTCGTGCCGTTGCCGATCGACCACCGATCGTATCGGCCGTTCGTTACGAGCGACACGCGAGTATTCGTGAGAGGAGACCGCGAAATTACGGCCGTGGACGCTCACGATGCTGTATAATCGGCAGGTACTTCGGCACCGTGCTCCTTTCGTACTCTTCCGTGTTTGTCGTATGTATTACAACCTGAAAATTAATTGACACGCCGGATTGAACCCTGCTGACTCGCTTTATTCAAATTGCCGACGCGGTCTCGATATATGGCCCTTGACGCGGTGTAAGGAAATTGGATCGTGTGACACGAATTGCAAGGTTCTGTGGAGGTTAGGACTCTGTGGAGGTGAGGTTTGTACTGTAATGTAATTTGTAGCGTGTTGGGGTTTTGAAATTTGAGAGTTTTCAGATTTTGAGAATGTGGTGATGATGTGGGATACTTTGGAGTACTTGAGATTTGGGGACCTGCGGGATGAGGAATTAGAAATTTGAGGAACTTGGGATTTGGGGAATTTGGAGTGTGGGAAGCTTGAAACCTTAGAAGTTAGGAACCTAGGGAATTTGGGATGCTTGAGATTCGAAGACTTTGAGAATGGGGAATTTGAAATCTAAGGAATTTGAGATTTGGAGAATTTGAAGTACCGGAAGCTTAAACCTTAGAAGGCAGGAACCTAGGGAATTTGGGATGCTTGAGATTCGAGGACCTTGAGGATAGGGAATTTGAAATCTAAGGAACTTGAGATTTGGGGAATTTGGAGTACGAGAAGCTTGAGACCTTAGAAGGTAGAAACCTAGGGAATTGGGGATGCTTGAGATTTAAAGACCTTGAAGATGGGGAATTTGAAATCTAAGGAACCTGGGATCTGGGGAATGTGGAGTATAGGAAGCTTGAGATCTCAGAAATTTGTAACCTAAGGAATCTAGGATCTGAAAGAGTCGAAATCAAAGGACCTAGAATCTTGGGGAATTTGAGATTCCAAAGCTTGGAATTGAGAAAACTTGAGATGCGACCCAGAGAACAAAATTACAAAATACATCTCCATATATCGAAATCTAAAACTTCCCCAAAAAAATCTCCCAAAATTAAATTTCAACGAAATGCATCATCCGAAAACTTTTATAACTGTACGCTTTCCGCTCCAGAAACCAACTCCACACGTGACTGTTACAAATAAATTTATTCCCGTTTTCTGACGAATATAGGAGAACAAAAATATGCAATATTTAACGGGACGCTGCCTTTGCATCGCGACAAAGCATGAAATATGGATGCGGTCGTGCGAAGTAGAATACCCCATTCGTGGTCAGACATCGCCATACACGCATCTTCGCAGCGGATTTCATAAAATGGCGTTTCTTTTTTTGTTACTTTCGCACAGAGTATTGGAACGTACAACCAAACATGTGCAACGAGCACGCGAATTAATAACGCTGTTTTCAGTATGTTCACACGGTGCATTGTGTCGGAACGTCGCGTAAATACATTAAGAAATAGCCCATTCATGGTTGTACACGATGTCATGCTTGGAAACGTTGTTCAATGTTTCATAACGTTCTCTGGTATTTTTTATTCGACGTCCATTCGTGGTCAAACATAATTCTGTCCCGTTCTTTTTGTTCCCTCGAGTGTTACGTGACGTAATCGAACAACGAACTAGCCATTGCAATTGTTTTGTTTGCTGACGAGCTCGTTACCTTGACCTAAGTGATAAATTGAAAGCTACCCTAGTCTTGTTGCTGACAACTATGTCATGTCTGTTTTAATTTTGAAACACGTCATTTTATGTATATTTTATTACATGTCGTAAATGACACATTATTCACACATTATTCAGTTATTCACATATGATGTGATGATTCACATTAGTCAAACTACTAAATATAAATCTCTTCTTTGTTCACAGGTACATCAAATACTTCAGCGGATTATTATCTGGCTCCCTGCGAATCAGCCAGTCGCCCCTGTATTTAACGCACCTCACCGTTCTCGGTGTCCCATTATTCGAACCCACGGGATGTCGAGCCTTCCTGAAGGTCTACGAAGGACTAACTCCTGTCTACACCTCGGATCTTTACTCCGTGACGAACGCTCGTGAATTCACGGTCAATCTTGGAGGTCTACGTCTGAGGGGAGACATTCTGGTGAAATGTTACCACAGGGTGTACTCGAAGCAGAGCCGGGAAGTGATGTTCTCCCTTCAGGTAAACCATTAAGAGATTCTAATCGCGGAACTTTAATTAACGCTTCAAACTTTGCTGGTTGCATATATCTTGATTCTGGAATTGCATTGGCATATCTTACTGCAACATCAAGTATCATTTATTAACACAAGGTTTAAGGAGGCTAGTAATCTGTAGTACATCATTTACTAAAACAAGGTTTAAATAGACTAACAATTTGTAGTACATCATTTATTAAAACAAGGTTTAAATAGGCTAACAATTTGTACAACATCATTTATTAAAACAAGGTTTAAATAGGCTAATAATTTATACAACATCATTTATTAAAACAAGTTTTAAATAGACTAATAATTTGTACATCATGTGATTACATAAATCAACTTTTACTAAATCAACGCACGAATTGATCGATCATACAATTAATCACATATAATCTCCATAACAATCTATACTACTATCATAACAATTTTTACAAAATGAACTTAAAAGTACATGAATCCTATTTCTTAAAAAACCTCTTCTCACAAAGTAATTGAAGAATCCTTCTCCAACTCCCCACAAACTTCTTCAATTCAAACGCAAGACGATACAAGACGATCTTCAGAGGATGCAATTAACTAGATCGTATCGGTTTTCCGAGTCTCGTTACACATTGAAAGAAAAAATGGGGATCGTTATGTAGAGATCCATTGTTTCCGCAGTTCCACACGTGCGTGATCTCGGAGAACGTGGTGTCCTTCCCCCGATCGGAACTCGACGTGGCTTGCGACGATCCTCGATGTCCTCCCGACAGTGTGGTCACTCTGTATTTCGCCAGCGACGCCAAGCGTCAAGACGGACCCATACCTGCACCGACGCCCGCAGTGCCGCACGCTTCCGCTCACCACGACCCCATCTTGCATTGGGACAGTTACACGAATCTCGAAATCAGCGATGATGGTGAGTGAAATAGTTTGTGATCATATTTTAGGTACAGTGGAAAGCATTTATTTTCACATTTTATGAAAACTAGTTGAGGGTTGCAAATATGGGAATTGAGGTTTGCAGATATGGGAATTTATGGATTTAGAAATAGGGGGAATATGGAAATATGGGATTGTTTGGAAATATGAGATGTTGTGGATTTAGAAGATTGAATGTATGGGCACTTGGAAATTTGCAGAATGTGAAATATGGAAATGGAGGATTTAGAGATTTGGAAATGTGAAAATTTGCGAATATGCAGATTTGGGAATATGAAAATTGGGGAAGGTGGAATTGGGGAAGGTGGGAATTGGGGAAGGTAGGAATTGGGGAAGGTGGGAATTGGGGAAGCAGGGAATTTGGGATTGTGGGAATTGGGGAAGGTTGGAATTGGGGAAGGTTGGAATTGGGGAAGGTTGGAATTGGGGAAGGTTGGAATTGGGGAAGGTGGGAATTGGGGAAGCTGGAAATTGGGGAAGCAGGGAATTTGGGAATGTGGGAAATGGGGAAGGTTGAAATTGGGGAAGGTGGGAATTGGGGAATGTGGAATTGGAAGACGTGGGAATTGGGGAAGGTAGAAATTGGGAAATGTGGAATTGGAGATTGAGGAATTGAGAAAGGTGGGAATTGGGGAATGTGGAATTGCGAGACGTGGGAATTGGGGAAAGTAGCAATTGGGGGATGTGGAATTGGAGATTATGGAATTGGGGAATGTGGAATTGGAGAATATAGGAATTGGGGAATGTGGAATTAGGGAATATGGAATTGGAGATTATGGAATTGGGGAATGTGGAATTGGAGAATATAGGAATTGGGGAATGTGGAATTAGGGAATATGGAATTGGAGATTATGGAATTGGGGAATGTGGAATTGGAGAATATAGGAATTGGGGAATGTGGAATTAGGGAATATGGAATTGGAGATTATGGAATTGGGGAATGTGGAATTGGAGAATATAGGAATTGGGGAATGTGGAATTAGGGAATATGGAATTGGAGATTATGGAATTGGGGAATGTGGAATTGGAGAATATAGGAATTGGGGAATGTGGAATTAGGGAATATGGAATTGGAGATTATGGAATTGGGGAATGTGGAATTGGAGAATATAGGAATTGGGGAATGTGGAATTAGGGAATGTGGAATTGGAGAATGTAGGAATTGGGGACGGTGGTAATTGGTGAAGGTAAAATTTGGAGAAGGTAAAAATTGGGGAATATCGAAATTGCCAAATGTGAGAATTGGGAAATATAGAAATCTAAATAATCTGTTAAATTCTAAACTCTACTATTTGTAACTTCAGAACCCTGATCTTTGACAATACAAAAATTTAAAAATTTTAAAAACTGAAATTTCCAAATTTCCACTGTAAATTTCCAAAATTAGAAAATGTCAAAATTCCTCTAATTGAAAGGAATTCGACGAAGTTGATCAGCAATAGCCAAGTGGAGGGAGTTCGCGTGGAACGAGGCACTCGATTAAGTTAGATTAGAGTAGATTACAACGCGACGGTCTAATTTGGTGCAATTGCCACGGTGCTGTGTTAGATCAGGTCACAAGGAGGTCAGTGGCGAGGCTAGTTAAAACACTCTGGAAGGTGAATTGGGAGAAACTATGAAAATTGACGAAGATGCCTCTGTGAACCGTATAATTGTTTACTAGATCAATCTCTCGTCATGCATAGTCATAGAGAAAGTCCTAAATTACGATTAAACGGTCTGAATTAACAGAAATAGTCGTTGACTTATCTTGTCGTCCATGAACTGTAACAACAACGAATCCACGGATCTTGGAAAATGATGAGACTATTAAAATGATTAATGGCACTGTTCGAAGCACGACATTCGCGGTATCTGTCAGGCTTCTTAAGAGGATTTTTCGTGTCAACCGAAGTTCGCGAGCTAATAACGGCGCGATGCTGCGTACGATTAATTAACCGATAGACCGAAACTCGCTAGTCGTAATTCAAGTGACGGAACTCATCGTCCGGGGACTAATTCGCACTAATTTTCGCCCTAATGGCAGCCAATTAACCTCGATCTGTCAGTGAGAACCAGTCAGAAATACGACTTGGCTGCGACGGGAGAGAGAACGGTGATCGAAATGGGGGAACAGGTTGAGAGGGGAGGTAAAACAGACAGACGAAAACTTTAGCAGTTGATGCAATGTATTTAAACGCGCTGACTAATACAGCCGGAAATACGTCCTGTGAGGTGAAATGGCGGTTTATCGTGGCGACACGAAGTCGTACGGAAATAGAGCTAAGGTCGGACCAATGGATGGGCAAGGTCCAGGGAAATTCCTATGCATAATCGGTTGTGGTAAAACTTACTGTGGGACAAGGGTAGAGAGTGAGCTAAGATTTACACAATGATGAGTTCACAAATTTTTTCATTTGGTATTTTGTTAAGTTGGCAGATTGTCAAGTTGTGCTTTTGTGAACTTGTGAATTTGTCACTTTGAGCATTTGTGAACTTGTGAATTAGTCACTTTGAGCATTTGTGAACTTGTAAATTTGTGAGTTTGAGCATTTGTGAACTTGTGAATTTGTCACTATGAGCATTTGCGAACTTGTGAATTTGTCACTTTGAGCATTTGTGAACTTGTGAATTTGTCATTTTGAGAATTTATCACTTTGTGAATTTGGGAATGTAGCTTTGGAAATATGGAAATTTGCGAATATGTGGATTTGAACATATGAAAATTGGCAAAGGTGGAATTGGAGAATTTAGGAATTGGGGAAAGTTGGAATTGGAGAAAATGGGAATTGGGGAATGTGTGAAATTGGGAAATGCAGTAATTGGGAAATGTGGGAATTGGGAATGTGGGAATTCGGGACTGTGGGAATTGGAAAATGTGGAAATTGGGGAATGTGGGAATTGGGGAATGTGGGAATTGGGGAATGTGGGAATGTGGAATTGGGGATTGTGGAAATTAGGAAATGTAGGAATTGGTGAATATGGTATTGGGAAAGGTGGGAATTGGGGAAGATAGAAATTAGGGAATGTGGAATTGGAGAATGTAGGAATTGGGGAAAGTTGGAATTGGAGAAGGTGGGAATTGGAGAATGTGTGAAATTGGGAAATGCGGTAATTGGGAAATGTGGGAATTGGGAATGTGGGAATTGGGAATGTGGGAATTGGGGAAATGTGGAAATTGGGGAATGTGGGAATTGGGGAATGTGGGAATTGGAGAATGTGGGAATTGGGGAATGTGAGAATTGGGGAATATGGAATTGCAGAATATGGGAATTGGGGAATGTGGAATTGGGGATTGAGGAAATTAGGAAATGTAGGAATTGGTGAATATGGTATTGGAAAAGGTGGGAATTGTGAAAGATAGAAATTAGGGAATGTGGAATTGGAGAAGGCAAAAATTGGGAAAGGTGGAATTGTGGGAATTGGAGAATGATATCTAAATTCCAATTCAGAATGCTAAAAAACTTGAAAACTAAAAAGCAACCCCACGGCACAAAAACTAAAAATTTCAAACCAGAAATATACTATTTGCATAAAAAATATCACGAATGAAATTCTTGAGTTTGGAAGAGCGATAGCGGATCCACGGTCGAGACCGATTTCCCCATCCTAAATTCCGACCTACGTTAAACGAAACGAATCGTCGCCCACGCTTCTCCGCTGGTTCACCGAACCGTTTCGAATATTCGGAACGATTACGTCACCGGTGGCGCGTCCGTCAAAAGGGGAAAGAAACGAGAATGAAACGAGAGACGACTGCGATTCAATTCGTTTTGCCGATCAACCTCCAATAAACCTGTGACCCGAATTGTTCCCGATGATTACGTAGGTTCGTTTACGAGGACAAAAATGGAACGGAAGACAGGTGAAAACACGAAACGAAGGGTTGGATAAAGCACGAAGGGTGAAAGGAGATAAATAGTGTATGGGTTGGGCCAATTACTAAACGATCGGTTAACCATGATAACGATCGAACGTCTGTCTTTTAGCCAAAACGTGGGTGTGACCTAACCGAAATCAATCTTGGATGGCGATAACCGTTCGGTAAAATGTAAACGTTGTCACTGTCGAGGATCGAATCGATTCTATTGACTTCATTCTTTGGCCACATTTATATTCCGTCAAGCTGACATGGATTTTCTTCCTGTTATCGACGTGCCGCGTCACGTTGCCGGCAGTTTTTCATTTCGCCGTTGTCTCTGACGAAACGCATCGAAATAGAGCTTGATGAATGTTTCTGGTCGGCAGGCTGCGGCTTTTATATTCCATACTGTCATTTAAATGTGTCTCGTATGATCCATCATAGACTGTATAATAAAAATGTCCATGATACTTTATAAAATTTAACTGTTCCATATAATCCATCACTACGGTAAAAACGTCTATGATGGTCTATAAAATTTCACCGTGGTGTCTGCCTGGGTGATAACCTGGTCTAGGATGTCTCTGCTGCTACTTTTGGTGCGATTATTCATATCACTTCACTCGAAATCTTATATTATGATATTCTCGTATCATGAAACTCCTGTAGTGTGATTTTCAGATTTCAAATTGCCCAGACCTCAAGTACCCTAGATCCCAAATTATTATTTAAATCCCAAGTTTCCCAGATCTCTAATTTTTGAGATTCCACGTTCCCCAGATTCCAACTTCTCCAAATCTGAAAATGTCTAAATTTCACATATCCCAAATGTTCAAAAAAATTTCCCAAAAATTTGTAATAATACACATGTTAGATCAGTATAGTCACCCATATAAGGACGTGGCTGTCAACGCGTTAAAAGACTGTAGAACGGTGTTCTGATGCTGGAAAGATCCAGCTGAATAAGAACGAAAATAAAACACGAAGAACGAGATCTAGTTTCCAATGTTTGTACGGAGAGTCAATATTTGCGGTCGACGATCAAATTTATTATTCGATCAATGTCATTAAGCGAGTAACGGTAGAAAATAAGGATCCAAAAGTAAAAATTTAAGAACATCAGGAACTTCAGGAGA